TAATCCACATTTTCCAGGAGTTCAAAGTTCTTTTCTGCAACATCTGACTCACCGTTTGGCCCCTGCTTTCTTTCTGTATGAGAATTGCTGCCATTTCCTCCTGAGTATTTTGATTCTGTACCTCCTGGAAACTACTGTGTTCCTGTACAGTTCATTCCAGGCATCAGTAGATCCGTGCTGGACTTGCATCTTTGCAAGAGCAAGATGATGCCTTGGGCAATTTAGCTTCATGATCATACTCTCAACAATTCTGTGCAAAGGCATGGCAGAGAAAGACATGAACAGAATGACTCAAAGTGAAACACTGCAGTACCACCAGCTACTGAGTGTTATTTAGTAGGAGTGGTTAAAAGCCTTGCTAAATTTAAATTTTAGCAAGCTGAAAAGGAAAGTTCATATGGGATATCAATGGAAAGTATGTGAGATTGTCTTGATTGTGGGGCTATTCAGAATACAACTCGTGGTGCTTTGAAGAAAATGAAATGTGTAGACAAGACTGAGGGTTTTCTTCAGGGCTTAGTCTCGCTGTAGTCTCCAGCTTCCACAGTGTCAAATATGCCTTCCACAGGAGCATTATTTTCACTGTTTTTTCACTATTTTTTGCATTCTAACTTAGATGATTGGCACACACTGCCAATTGATCATGTCACCCTAGGCACGTCTTTGACTTTCTCCATATTCAAAGTCAATTAGTTCTTGTTTCTCGAGAAGCTATCACCTTGGGTCTCCCACCTCAAAACTTGTTAAAGGTTATATAGATGTAAAGTTGTTAAGAGTTAATCTGGACCTGTTTCTTTTCTGTGCATACCTTAGACTTTACAGACAGGGCACAGATACTCCAGGGCTTTGGAGTCTGGAGTCCAAGTCTCCCTATAACAACTATCAGTGTTTGGTTTATTTTCTTAGCACATACCAGCATCATCTAATGCGCTAGAGCTGTGCAGATGCAAGCAAGGTCTCATTTAGCTGAGTGGTGATTTCAAGTACATTTTGCTTTATTTCAAGCAACTAGAAAATCAGATAGAAAACACTGGAACCCTGATCTTTTTATTTTGGTGTTGCTGTGGTTGATTCTCCAAATGTAACCACATTTAAAGTTCAGATTTTGCAGATAAATTGGGAATTTTCCTTAAAGAAGGACAAATGAGTAATTTTCAGCAGCACTGTACTTACTAATGGCATATTTTAACAATAAATTCTGATTTCTATGACTAAAAGAAAAGCAGACTTGGTAAATCTTTCACATTCTCATATAACCTTATAGACCATTCCAATACACTTTCTTGTACTTACAATTTCATGTTTATTGATCTCTTTTTTTGTTAGCAAACATTCTTTTGAGTATCATCTGGAGTTGGCTCATCTATTTCAACCCATCAAGAAACCTAATTCATTCTTTAATCGAAAATGAGTTCATATTTGAGTCACAAAGGAATCTCTGTATTTTACTGTTAAGTGACATTGAATTTTATCAAGAATACACACACACTAAGGTGTGGAACAAAGTGAACAAGGGAAACTGATTGTGCCAAGAATTCAGATGGTTCCAGTCTGTCTGCATTTCCAGCATAAGACATGGTTTTCTAGGTTTTGCATGAATTTAGCATCTCTATCTTAGCCTAGATTGTCTCAGCTCAGTACAATGTGTTTTTTAAAAGTATTTTTTTCAATATATGTAAACTGCATTTATATTTTATTATCACGCAAAACTTCTATAACATAAACTATAGAAATAAGTATAACTTAAAGTATAAGAAATATAAAAATAAAATAAAATAAAATAAAATAAAATAAAATAAAATAAAATAAAATAAAATAAAATAAAATAAAATAAAATAAAATAAAATAAAATAAAATAAAATAAAATAAAATAAAATAAAATAAAATAAAATAAAATAAAATAAAATAAAATAAAAAGATCTATCAAGAAGTGTGTAGCCAGCAGGACTAGGGAAGTGATCATCCCCCTGTACTCAGTGCTGGCAAGGCTGCACCTCGAATACAGTGTTCAGTTTTGGCCTCTCACTACAAGAGAGATATTGAGGTGCTGGAGTGAGTCCAAAGGAGGGCAACAGAGCTGGTGCAGGGGCTGGAGCAGAGACCTTATGAGAGCAGCTGAGGGAGCTGGGGTTAGTTAGTCTGGAGAAGAGGAGGCTCAGGGGAGACCTCATTGCTCTCTGCAGCTACTTGAAAGGGGATGGTAGTGAGGTGAGGGTCAGTCTCTTCTCCAAAATAACTACTACTAGGACAAGAGGAAATGGCCTCAAGTTGCACCAGGGGAGATTAAGGTTATATATTAAGAAAAATATGTATATGGAAAGAGTGGTAAAGCATTGGAACAGGCTGCCCAGGGAAGTGGTGGAGTCCCCATCCATGGCCATGTTCAAGGAATATTTCAGAATATTTCAGAATATTTAAGGTTGGAAGGGACCTCTAGAGATCATCTAGTCCAACCTTCCTGCTCAAGCAGGCACACCTACAGCATGTGGCACAGGGCGGCATCCAGGCGGGTTTTGAAGACCTCCAGAGTAGGAGATTCCACAACCTCCCTGGGCAGCCTGTTCCACTGCTCTGTCACCCTAACAGTAAAGAAGTTGCTCCTCACCTGGAGACGGAACTTCTTATGCTTCAGTTTGTGGCCATTACCCCTCGTCCTATCGCTGGCCACCAGTGAGAACAGCCTGTCCCCTTCCTCCCTGCATTCTCCCTTCCTGAACTTATACACATTAATCATATCCCCTCTGAGCCGTCTCTTCTCCAGAGAAAACAGGCCCAGCTCRCTCAGCCTCTCTTCATACGAGAGATGTTCCATTCCCTTAATCATCCTGGTTGCCCTTCTCTGGACCCTCTCCAGAAGCTCCACATCCTTCCTATACTGGGGTGCCCAGAACTGAACACAGCACTCCAGGGGCAGCCTCACCAGAGCTGAGCAGAGGGGCAGAATCACCTCCCTTGACCTGCTGGCAACGCTCCTCCTGATGCAGGCCAGGATCCCATTGGCCTTCTTGGTCACGAGGGCACACTGCTCACTCATGGTTAACTTAGTGTCAACCAGGACTCCCAGGTCCCTCTCCGTGGAGGTGCTTTCCAGCAGKTCSACCCCTAATCTGTACTGATGCCTGSGGTTATTCCTCCCCAGGTGCAGGACCCTGCACTTGTCCTTATTGAACCTCATGAGGTTCCTCTCTGCCCAACTCTCCAGCCTGTCCAGGTCCCTCTGGATGGCAGCAGAGCCCTCCGGAGTGTCAGCCACTCCACCCAGCTTGGTGTCATCCGCAAACTTGCTCAGGGTGCACTCCGTGCCCTCGTCCAGGTCATTGATAAACAAGTTGAACAGCACTGGGCCCAGTACTGACCCCTGGGGGACACCACTGGCCACAGGCCTCCAGCTGGACTCGGCCCCATTTATSACCACCCTCTGAGCTCTGCCATCCAGCCAGCCCACGATCCACCGCACCGTGCACTCATCTAGCCCACTGTCCCGGAGCTTCCGTATGAGGATGTTATGGGAGACAGTGTCAAAAGCCTTGCTGAAGTCAGGGTAGACAACATCMACGGCTCTCCCCTCGTCCAGCCAGCCTGTCACCCCATCATAGAAGGCTATGAGGTTCGTCAGACATGACTTCCCCTTGGTGAATCCATGCTGACTGCTCCTCAGCAGCTTCTTCTCCGCCATGTGCCCGGAGATTCTCTCTAGGATGAACCGCTCCATCACCTTTCCAGGGACAGAGGTGAGGCTGACCGGCCTGTAATTGCCCGGCTCCTCCCTCTTGCCCTTTTTGAAGACTGGAGTGACGTTGGCTCTCTTCCAGTCCTCGGGCACCTCCCCTGCTCTCCAGGACCTCTCAAGGATGATGGAGAGAGGCTGAGCAATAACCTCGGCCAGTTCCCTCAGCACTCTTGGGTGCATCCCATCTGGGCCCATAGATTTTTGAGTGTCCAATTTGCCTAAGTGATCCCTAACCCAATCCTTCTCAACCCGTGGAAGGTCTTCTTCTAGCCCATTTACATCTCTTCCCTTTGTGCCCTGAAGTTCATGGGGGGTCGTCTTAGCAGTAAAGACAGAGGCAAAGAAGGCATTTAGTAACTCTGCCTTCTCGGCATCCTCCGTCACCAAGGCCCCTTCCCCATTCAGCAGTGCACTAACATTTTCCCTCGTCTTCCTCTTGCTAAGGAACGTGCAGACGAGGCACTTAGAGACATGTTTTACCAGGTAAAGTGTTGAGGGGCTTACAGTTGGACTTGATCTCAAAGGTCTCTTCCAACCATAAGGATTCTATCGTTCTATGAAAAGATTTGGAAACCACCAATGATTTCTTTTTCTCACAAAGGAAGCTTTGATCATTTTTGCTAGTAGTTAATCTCACAAATCTTTGTAATATCTTCCACAAGATAAGCAGAGCATATTACTTTGCCTCTATCTTATTTTTGCAAAATGTCCATTTTGCAAGTATTTTTAAAGATACAATTAAAGATTAATCAACCAATTCCTAACAAAATATTTTATCAAAAAACAGGTGAAATTTCAAGCTGAAAGTGCTGGGGACAGGCTTTAACCTTGTGTTAGATGTAAATGGGAAGGTTAAGGAAATGGCTTTCTTTGAATATCACTGTGAAGGAGAACATGTCAGGCCTGCAAAATGAAGTCAATTTCTCCATCTACTTGCAAAGCTCAAGTGAAAATGATGCCATTCAGAGCTGGATGCGCAAAGCCTCCTTCCCTCCCATGATGCAAAATGTGTTTCAGCTGTAGAGCCACACCTGAAGCTGGATGTGGCTAGCAGAGTTGTAGGACCTAAGGTCTCCCTCTTTATCTGATCCCATAGCCTGACCACATTGTCAATGTTTTCTGCCTTACTACTCCATCATCTGTATTAGCAGGCTTCCTACTTTGTAAACCATTCCCAAATATCCAGTTTTATTTCTCTTCTTCTAGCCCTCGTGCATTTGCAGAGTAACCACAAACACTTAATTCCCTTTCTTTATGTTCCCCTTGGCAGGTGAGAAGCCGGGCCCAGAGTTGGACGAAGTGAGGCTGCAGAACGCCAGCAAGCAGATCGTGCAGGCAGTCATCCTGCGAGCGGTGCAGCAAGTGTCCCAGGAGAGCCAGCAAAGGGAGAGGCGACCGCACGGCAGCATGAGTATCCAGCGGGAAAGAGGAAAGTTAACCAAGAAGCATGAAAAGAAGTAAAGGAGAGGATTGATTATTTGGATCCTCCATCCCACAATATTTTCAGCCTCCTCCGTAGTATCAGCTGTATCAGCCAATGCAATGCTACTGCTGTAAAGCAAACCAAAGCATAAGCGACACCTAGATAGAGAGTAAAGCTGCAATAGTCCTCAGTTGAGAAATATTAAGTGCATTAGGTGATTAACTCTGTATTTATGCAGTGCCTCTTAACAGAAACAATCATAGCTATAAAAGTAGTTTCCAGCACAAGCTTTTATGGTATGGACTTATATTCAAAAGCTTCTGTGTGCAGTGTCCATGTCAGCTCAACCGGCCAGACTCTACTCTGAGTTACTGGGCTCACTGGGGTTGTCTTCACTGAAGAAATAATTTGCTGTTGAGTGTAGGAAATTGCTTTCAAACTGCCTTGAAACATGAGTTTATAGTTCGTTTTGATTAAACATGGACTATGTGAAATGGATGTGTAAAGGGGTTTTGGTAAGATCTATCATCCAATCTCTCTTTTCTTTGTTTTCTTTTTCATCCTGGAAGAAGAAAAAAAAAGCAGCCCAGTAAAACTTTACCATACTATGATCTATGACCACAGATCTATGATCTATGTCTTCTTTTAAAGAAGTTAAAAGAAGTACTGAAGCTCTGGTCTACTTATTTGATATACTTCTGTATAAATGTCACTTGTGCCTCAACTACTCCTTTTAATTTTTTTTTGCTGTTTAAAGAAACTCTTATTATTGATATACTGGTATGCAGCTCCTCCTTCAGCTTTGCAAGCTGTGGCTTGATTTTTAGAAAATGAATATTGGAGTGACTTAAAAGAAAGTTTAAAATTTATTGGTATGTTGAAAACCAGAAATATATTGTATCCAAATTCTGTTACGGGAGATAGTTTCTGAATGCTAGTTTAAAGGAGCTCTAAATATTTGCAGCTGTTATATAGATTCACCATAARTAGCATTGCACTAAGCCTATAATACAGAATTTATCCTTTAAATGCTCTCTATAGCTAAAGAAATTCATAATACTACTGAAATATAAATAAATGTAGTTCGACTTTCTTGCTCCCTTACTGTGATGACTGCACTGTTACATATCTAAAATGAATAACGGCTTATTTCGTTCTAGAAATGGCTTGAAGTTCCACTTCAGATGAATTGCTGTAATAATATATCTAGGAATACGGAGAAAAAGATGCACAGGACGTGCAAAGAAGGAAACAAACTTCTGCAATAGCCTTTCTATACARTAAGATGTTTCTCAAAGAGAAACAATGTAATTGACTATTAGTGTGTCCTACTGCTTGTGTTAAACAGCTTCAGGATTCTTTCTGATGCCTTGAGGCTTGGCTCATGAATAGACATGTACTGTAACATTAAGTCTCTGAAATCTGCTGGGTTCCATTTTCTTTTTTTTTTTCTTTTTTTTTTAATTTTTTTTTCTTTTTTTTAATGAACACTCCTGACTCATACCAGATAATGATCTAGCTCAATCTTCCTTCACTCAGTTAAAATGCAAAGGAAAACTCAACATGATTAAAGTTGTTCTAAATCCTCTAATAATGAAAACTGAATTGGATTGCAAGTACACAGTCAATTCACTTCTGTAGTCATCCTTGCTAAGTGAATTTTCCCACCAAGAGAAGATTTGAAGGGTGGAAGTACTGGCTCTGGAGGCATCTGTATGTTTGTCGTAACAGTCTTTTTCTACTGCTAGCTTTTGCATACATTAAGTTGGGATGTGGCTCTTTTCTAAGCAGTCCCTGCATCTGAGAGCCTAAGAAACAGAACATGCGTCAAGATTCAGCTTGACGGCTGAAGGGCATGCAAGCCCAGCAGCTGAGGGGTAACAAGCCTGCTGAAGAGACTCCGTGGTTTGCCATGGAATCACCTACAGTTCAGTAAGAGAAAGCGCTTTAGGACAGTAATATCACAATTCCTTTCATATTCTTATACTTTTTAAATTATTATTCTTTCCTCTCTGAGATTTATTTTCCCCCTATTATACTGTTAATCATCTTTTAGTAATYTTAGTGTGATTGGGAAATTTGTTTGCCTGACTTTTTAAAATCACCGTATTAGAAAAAAGGTAATATTGAAAAATCAGAGAAGCCAGCCTTTTGCAACCTCTCTGTGCAAGCCTATTCCACTTCTCCTCCTACTGTGCTGTTCTAGATGCTCACTTTACCATCTGAGCCCTTTTTGACACACTATTATTTAAGAAGCAAATCATGCRTATTAGAGAGATATCAAATCTCTCTACTATGTAAGACAGGCAAGAAGCCTCTCAGAGCCTTGAGGAAGMTTTCTGTGGTCTCCTATAAAAAAAAATAGTTTAGCCTAAATTGCATAGTCTTTCCTCAGAGCCAAACAACGAGTCTTTGATCTATATAGTACGTATTTCTAAATTATAACATGCATTTAATATTTCCTATAGACAAAGGATGTTCCGCACCTATAGACAAAAGATATTCTGCACAACACCTGTATCCAGTAAGCACAGTTGAGATCTGCACCACATGTGAGAGAACTGCACAAAATAAAAATAAAACTTTAACTTTTGCTTCTTATATACCTACTAAAYGGGCAAAGGCAAATAGTTTTGGTAGCTTCACTGACATACTATATTTTTCTGGAGAAAAAGAGAGACTAGAAACTACTTGAGATGTGATACAAATCTGATTACAAATAAAGAAAATTTTAACCTCTTATATGTCTCTGTTTTCTCATGTCAGAAGAAGGGAAAGAATTTTGAAAGTTACTAGCCAATCTTTTACAAGGTAAGYTGTGTGCTCATCAGGCTTAGATTGTTAAATGCTCATTGAGCATTCAGCAAAATATTTAGCAAAATAATTCATATCTTARCAATGAGAGACAATCAAATATATCAATATGCACTTAAACTTGCCAACTTTCAGCACTTGCCAAGAATAGTAGAAGTATGCACAAATATGCAAAAACACATTTATTGCAACTATTTTCATGAAGTAGAATCAGGTGTCTATGGCTCTCCTGCACATACTTGCTATGTTTTTTATTCAAGATGGATTACCACAATTTTGTTCTTGTATTAGGGATATTCTGTGTAATGTAGTCACCTTCTATACAGCAGCAAAACTTAAATGAAATTTATATGGCCATAGAAAAATGTATTAAGAAATTATTAAATGCATTCATTCATAAACTTGCTGGTCTTGTGTGGTTACATTGCGAATTCCTGCTAAAAAAAAAAAAAAAAAAAAAAAAAGTAAACAGCCAACTATATTTTACCATTTTAGAAAAATACAAGCATTTTGTTAATAGTTGGGAACTGGGAATTTTTGAGTACATATATTCAAAAGCAACACCATGTATCTAAGTGTCTTAACTAGGCTGCTCACTGGTTTCTAACTGATGTTTTTCAATGTCTTCTAGGCATCTGAGAATGTAGTGGTGTCTGCAATAGCAAGCATATAAAATGTCTGTGTARCTATTCCTGAAATGATTAATATAAAATATGTAGAAGCTGTCCTTTTGATGTGTGCTTATGTCAAATTTATGGCTTAATTTACCATTCCTAAAGACTTTTCTAAAAAAAAAAATAAAGATCTAAATTTAGGGAAAGGATAAAGGGACATAGAATACATTTCTTGAAAGGATGTGGGATTCACTCTATTCTCTTTATTACCACCTAAGTCTGATAAAGAAATAAAACTAATGAAGGCCTTGAGGCTGGACTTGGCCTAATTTCTGCCAGTTGGTTCCTGCAACCCAGGCATCTATYTGTGTGACATCTGGTGGTGGTGTCCTCCTGGCAAGCACTGGAGACTGGATAAGAAGTTAGCAGCAGTGCTGATGGAGCTTGTTTTCTAATGTACTATTCTCTCATGTTTGAGCTTCTTAATGTCTTGTAAAAGAACACCTCTGGCAAAGTTTTCTCCAGTTTTTAGCTTTTCCAGAACACAGGGATTCTCCACGGTCTAACAAATTTGAACTCACATCTCAGTCTGTCTTTCAAAGGGAGCGGAAATATGGTCTCTTTTCTTTAATCCTGTAGCTACTTTCATGAAAGCTACTGGTCATTGAAGTACACAAGTTTTTCCATGTTTAAAGATCTCTTTATCCTGACCAGATTTAGTCAAATTAGCCAAAAAAAAGTATTTTATTATTAAGAAAGGACAGAAGATCATGCATACAAGCGGTGCTTTTGCTCTTGGGGGAACACTGAGAAATAGAAATATATTTCAGAGATATTTGTTTCTAAGATGTCCTTATCAACTGGGCAGATTTTCTTTGTTTACTTAAAATAAGCAGCTTTTCTTTTTTAATAACTTTTTCTCCAGTGACTTGCTACTTGAATTTTGTTTTATGACCTTGCTAGTTTTGACATTACGATGTCAATAATTCACTTAATTTGTGTCTGATTAGTACATCTCTGGGATTACATGTGGTCTGTGATGGTGTCCTCTTGCTTTTTTTCCTTTCACTAAGTATTTATATAAGGGAGTAGAAATAATATGTAAAGTTATAGAGGAAAATAAATATTTGTTTTTCTGCACTTGTCTACAGCAGAAGCTCTATGGGTCAGATTGTCACAAGCAGTTTATGTTTCTGTGGTAATAGCTGGGTGAAAACGTACTGCTCAAGTACATAAAGAGAAAAATTATTATCACACAAATCGGAAACTCAATTCACCCAAGGTTTTTCTAAAGCATTTTAAAATGGGTAGCTTTAGGAAGAATGTCCTATGTGGGTTTTTAGAGGTGAAACCTATTTAGAAACACCAGGTAGTGAAAACTACAGTTGCTTAGTTTATGATATGAGGTGGAAAATTAATATTACTGCCTTGTTCTGAAGGTTTAAATGTTACCTCCTTATGTCTATTTGAATTGCTTCCTTTGGCAGAATGACTCATCTGCTGCTGCCTTAAGGGAATGAAAAGCTACTATCCTTTGCACACATGCATCCATGCGTGCACATCCATTCCAGAAGAATAAGCCCAGGTTGCTAGATGTCCTAGTAAACGCTTTAGCCATAATTTTTTTTTTCGGTAAACATACTCCTTCCTAACACTGTTCCTTCTTATTTCTTACCCATTTAACAGCTCATTATGAAAACCTTCAGCTACCAGATAAACTAGGAAAGCTATCAGCTTCTAGAACTGAGAAACTGAATAAAATACAAAAAATATCTTCCTATTTCACTGATGGGATATTGATTCTTTCTCACAGCTCACTGGATGTGTTTAATTACAGGGAGGACTACTTGGTTAGCTAGTGATCCCTTACCCTCTGTTGCTCACAGATTGCCCATAAAGCCGCAATGTTCTCTCTTTCCTTGTAAGCTAAAACTCTTCCTGGGATGTAATTTGCCCTGATTTGTGAAAGATCTGTCCTAACTCTGACTTCAGATTTCCCATGGACTACATATCTGGGTATTTTTCCCACTGCAGTGAAAGTGCAAACTTTCAGATCTACAAAGATATACTTGCCCTGAGAAAGTTTGCATACTTGCTGTCCAGCATTCTCAAGTAAAATATGTGTTGCCATCTCTTGTAATTCCTCTCATTGTGTTCCTCAAAASTATAGATACTTTTACCCCTCTTATCCATCTTATCCAGGGTTTCATGAGCATTAGTTGTTCTTAAGATGTATAGGCAGGAACAAGGAGTCTCACTGCCCTCTTAGGTTTGGATCACTGAAGCTGCAGTGACCAACAGAAACTGCAGTTTCCAGGGAAATGACCCTTCTGTAGTTTTTGCATCCTTTCTCTTCATCTTATATGAATTTTTTATTTTCACGTGTTTGCTTCCGAACAACAGAATGGTRGTACTGGAGAGCACTTGAAGTGTGTCCTTGCATGCCCTCAAATTTAAGGATATCAGCCCAGTTCCATCTTTCCCTCAGGCTGAGCTGGAAACAAGACGAGCCTGTAAACTTCCATGTAATGCTGTCTGGTAAAGAGCTATGCAGGTATACGAACACCTCCTTCTGTTTTCTAAGGCTGGCTTAAAAAAAAAATCAATGCCTGAAACTGAGACCAGCTTGTTCATCGCTGTGCTCAAAGTGGGTGGCAGCAAGAACCTCTCAAACCAGGCTTCAAGGAGMAAAATGTTCAGAAGACACTGGGCTTCTACCTAGGCCAGGAATGTTCCTCTACCATGTGGATAAGCACAACAAGTCCTTCTTTCTTTGTGTTTACTTGATTTTTTTTTTTTTTGATTTGTTTGGAGAATATTTCGTTTTTTTAGAAGGTTTGAGGTTTTTTTGCCACATGTTCACTGCTAGGCAGGCAAGCAAGTATAGTATTCTAGCAAATGAGTCAGCATCTGCTCATTTTGCCTTCTTTGTTTGTTTGTTTGTTTGTTTTCCAGTTAACTTGTCCTGTTGTCCCTCAAGGTCACTTTTTTTTTCCTCTTCAAAACACTAATTT